TTTTGATTTTTCTGGTTGGAAGAAATTTCCTTTTCATTTTTATCAATGTGAAGAATTGCCTTTTCAAAAAATGTATAGTTATTCATTATTTTCTTTAAAGTAACGCTTAGTCACGCTTTACTTCCTTTGGGCAATATTCAAACATTAAAACAGGTTTTTAAACTCCATTTGTCTCCTCTTGATTTATTTTTGAAGTTTAATTCTATAGATTTCTAAACCCACAAGACATCATTTTGTGTTATACAGGCAGCATTCATTTAGATTTATCTTTATATTCACAAACTTCTTAGCTGGATACTTGTGTCTCAGATCATCCATTTGGGGTCATTATCTGCTACATCCTTTAGAAGTTCCTCCAGTACTCTTGCCTGGAGAATCCCTTGGATGAAGGAGCCTGGTGGGCTACAGTCCATGGGGTCGCAAAGAGTCAGACACGACTGAGCGACTTCACTCACTTCACTTCATATAGTCTACTTGTGGTAAACTCCTTGGGGTTTGTTTGTTTGTTTGTTTTCATTTCTGTGTGTAAATGTCTTTATTTTACCTTCATTCTGGAATTTTCACTGGGTATAAAATTTTCACTGGGTATAAAATTTTAGGTTGGCAGTTATTTTCTTTTAGCACATTGAAAATAAGATTCTTCCAGTCTCTCCTGTTACTGAGAAGTTAACTATAAATCTTAGTGTAATTCTTTTGGTGATAACCTGTAATTTTCCTCCTTTGCATGCATTTAGATATTTTTTATGTTTTATGTAATTTTCTTTATGTTTTATGCACATTCTTTTAATGTATCTGTATAAGCATTTGAGGTGACTGGATGGATAGCTTTCCCTAGTCCTGTAAAAGCCCAGCTATCATGTCAGTAAAATGATTTCTGATACACATTCTAAAAAATTCCTTCCATCACCTATTTACATATAAGATAAAATGGACCTTCTCATTCCATCTCCTTTTTTTAACTCTTTCTAGTATTTTCCATCCTTTGTCTCTCTGTACTGTGGACAATTTTATCTCTGGTCTTTTTTCTAATTCCCTAATTCTTTGTTTATACTGCTATTTCACTCATCCACTCTGTTAATCATAGCTTTTGTATTTTATTTAATTCTAGAAATTCTATTTGGTTTATTTTCAAATTAGTGATTTGTGTGTGTGGCTTATTGTAGGAAACATTTCCTGTGAGATTCCTCATTCCTGCAAGCCACAGGCTTTCTTTGAATTTTATCCTTATCCTAGAAGGCTGTCAAAAGATGAATTCAAAATGTCCAACATTAACAAAAGCCCCTTAGGAAAAAAGCAACTTCCCTGCTAATTACCTGTGTAGGTTTGACATCCCTTGGAGTTTGGGCCTGATCATTCCTTAAATTTTTGTGATCCTTTAAAGAATATATCCTTTATATATATTTATATATATGTATGTATCCTTTAAAGAATATAGTTTTAATATCAAATTCAGCTTTTCTAGTTGTTTTTCAATGAGAATAATGGTCCAAATAACCTAACCATTACCAGAAATAGAAATTTCCCACATAGTATTTCTAAAATGCATCAGGTTTAGTATCAGTGTGGGCATCATGTGAGCATCTGTATCAGTTGGGGTTCAACTCGAGAAGCAGAGCTAGTAGGAGGTTATGTGTATGCGTTACAGGGGACTGGCTCATGTAATTGTGGGGGCTGGCTGTGCAGTCTCCACAAGGCCATCTTTCAATCTAATGTTGGACCCTGGCTGGCAGGAAATCTGGAAGAGAAGACCACAGTGGTGCTTGGCCACCAGGATAACCTGCAGAAGCTGAAATTCTGTCACAGAGTTAAATACACACATGCACACACACACACCTAGCTGGCCTAGGAGTCAGAACAACTAAAGCAAGATCCAAGCAGGAGGAAAAGTGGTTACAGGCCCAGTTGCTGCTTCACCGCGGGACAAGTCAGCAGATCAGCAACAAGGCATGTGTCTTGTAAAGTGGCTGTAGCCTTCCAACCCACTCTAACTGGGAACATACAGAAAGGAAACCCTGGCATATGTCCAGCCTAGCCAGGTTGAAGCCAGGATGAAAACATCTCTCACTATTATTTTTAAATCTGCACTTTTCTTATTCAATTTTTCTCTCTTTTAAAGATTGGATTATATGATTACAGGGATCCAACATGGAAACACATTTCTAGAACTGAAAGGAAGCTGCTCCTCAGACTTGCAGGGCATTCCCCAGGCTGCTGCATGCACCTCTGTTATCTGTCGGCTCCTGCAAGACAACTGAGTTTGAGATTTAAACAGATTTGGAACTGAGATTCTCCGGGGCACCATTGACTACTCCCCTTTTCCTCCACCCTATTAACTTTCTTTTCCCTTCCTCTGTCCTTATTTTCCTTTTCTAAGGATGAGAAAATGTGTGGGAGTGTGGTAATGGGTGTAATGGATGGAGGAAAGTGGATCTAAAGACAATACTCAACACCTGCTAGAATAGATAACATTTATATTGGTGGGTTTGAATCTTCCCAACAGGCACTGAGTTTAGCATCAGGAACAGGATGAGATGGACTTCAGCCCCACTGACTTATATCTACCCACCTGCCATAAACCAGAAGCCCAAAACCATGGATGGCCCACAAAACCATTTGGATTTACTTTTACTTCTAAACTGTGTGCCTATCACTGTGCATGATTTATATGAATTTTGCCAACAGTCATTAGATGTTTTGTTCCTAATTTAGCTCCAGTTTGTTTTTAAAGCCCTGCTCTCATATAACTAGCAAAGTAAAAATAATCAGACTATTAAATGTAAAATTTAATTGATCTCAGGACACCAATGTCTGATTTTTCTATGACCTTCAACGTTTTCAGGGGGAGAATAGCCAAACTCAATCCGAGAGAAATATTTACTTGTAGAAGTTCTGAAAGGAAATGTGTTAGTGCTTTGAAATATTTGATGAAGTAGTCCGTGGAAACTAGAGAAAAGGCTAGTGCAAAAGGGCATGTGCTGGAGACAGTTCCCTTCCAGACAGGGAAGCAGTTTCTCAGAACAAGAGTCACTCTCTCCATTTTCCACGTATTAAGGCCAAATTAATGTAACAGATCCACCTACCGCTTAGAGTCCTGCTTATACATTTCCTGTCAACAAAAATCAGTTGACACAAGCTCCTGCATTTATTATAATCATTTGCTGAGAATAATCTTTGAATTTGACAAGAACTTTGATTTTGTAATTGAAACCAAGACGAATAATATTTTATATTTCAAAGAGTTTTATCAATAGAATTGGTTTTAACTTTTTCTGACTTTACAATAGAATAATTAAACAGTTTATCATGTTTCTGATAGTTTGGATGGGTTTTCCACTATGTACTCTTTATGACTGTTTCTCACACACATATACAACTTGATGCACTTAGGGAGAAGCTTAGTGTGCTTAATCATTTGGGCATCAAAACAGATTTTGACGTAGCTAATTATGCTACTATGTGGAAAAATCATATCTAAGATAGCAGTCACAGCATGTAATATATTTGGTGATAAATAAAAAATAAATGTGCTATCTTCTAGCTTTGGTTGAAAAGGATTTCACTAGGTTTGGGAAAATACATAATAAACTGTTTCAAGTTTTAAATTTTTATGGAGTCTCTGTGATGGAATGAAAATAACCCTAGGACTTGAAAGATAGTATAAAAGCAGTTAGGACATGTTTCTAATCATTCAGCTGCCAGCTGCAGGTCAATCATCCCGTGCAGAGTCGCTGTCATCTCTCACCGGGGCTTCTTAGTGGCCTCCTAAGGGGTCTTCCTGCTTCCGTGTGTCCCCAGTCAGGGTCAGTTCCCAGCACAGGTGCCCGAGTCAGCCTCTGGGAGCATAAACCAGACCACTCCTCAGACCTTGCACGGCTCCCTTTACTGCTCAGACTGAGTCGACAAGGTGTGGGGTGACCTGACCCCACTTAGCTGCAGCCCTGCTTCTCCTCACTGACCTCCTCTCTGCTCAGGCCGTCCTGGGCTCCTCGCTGGGCCCCAGCAAGCCAGGCCAGTTCCCCCTTGGCCTACTACACGGGTTCTTTCTGCCAAGAATATTCATTTCTCACGTGTCTGCTTGCGCAACTGTCTCCTGTCTTTCAAGTCTTGGCTCAAATCTATCTTTTCAAAGAGGCCTTCTGTGACCAGTTTAAGTTTACACCCCCTGTCCACTCTCCCATCCCTGGCATCGCCTCTCTCCTTTATTCTTGCTGCACTTTCTGGTTTTTATAGCATTTATTACCTCTCTTTAGGTCACCAACTTCTTTCTTAAGTGTGTTACTCAGTATGGGTTTCTCTCCTTTAGAAAGTAAGCTCCATGATGGCAGGGCTTTGACTCACTGATGCTCTTGAGTTCTAGGCATCTAGGAACAATGCCTGACTCACAGCTGGTGCTCTACTTCTTTCTTAAGTGTGTTACTCAGTATGGGTTTCTCTCCGTTAGAAAGTAAGCTCCATGATGGCAGGGCTTTGACTCACTGATGCTCTTGAGTTCTAGGCATCTAGGAACAATGCCTGACTCACAGCTGGTGCTCAATACATAGTTTTTTAATTCAACTTATGCTGATGGATAACAAAACTAATTTTGTATGTTAAAAAACAGTTCTGTCTTTTCCAGAGGAAAGTATAGTCCCTGAAAGTACAGCTGTTAAGCTAAGACTCATTGGACTCTATTGTTCAACTACTGTCTGTGACTCAGTGCAGTCTTTTCTCAGGTTTCTTGACAGTAGTGGACTTCTGTGGAGAATTTCTCAAAAGCAGTAGTTGTGATCATGTTTAATATCTAGTTCCTACAAAGGGAGGGAAGAACCAAAGAAAATTCCATTGCCAATTCCATTGCATCTGTGACAGAAGTGTTCAAGCAGATAAAGGCACTGGAGGTTTTAAATCTCCATTCTAGAAGGCACCCCAGCAGAGCTCCCAGACAGAATTTGAAACAGCAGATGACTCAGAAATCAGTTTCAGTGTCACAAAAATGACAGCCTCACTTTTTTTCCACACAGGGGGACGGTTCCTCCTCATTCTTGTCGGAAACTTGCCATGAGGATCCCTCTGTTTCCCCCAACTTTACTCCCCCCAACCCTCAAGCTCTCAAGTGATGACCAGTGAGACCGGTGTCCTTCCGGCCAGGTAGGACACGATGGGAGGGGGCGCTTTTAAGAGGAGGATGGCGTGTGGCCGTCCGGGTTTCAGGCGCTGTGCGGCCTACACCTCTATTCTGCGCTCTGTACACTCTCACAATTTTCCTGCTGTGGTCGGGGTGGGTGCTGTGTCTCTCATCTTCACCTGTCTTCCTTGGGTGTCAACTGCTTCCTCACTGTTCTCTCTTCTGTCGTAAATTCCCTTCTTCCATATTGCTGTCTTCTGTCATCTTTTTGTTTTTCTCTTTGCAATACTGGCTTCTCCTTTGTCCTTGATCTTTCCTATGCTCACACTATTATTTCCACTTTTGAAACATGTTTTAAATTCCTCCTTCTCAAAGCACTGGTTTCCAATCTTATGACCTTAAAATCCAATGGGGTTAAGTTAACTCTCAGGAAATCTTCTTGACTCACTCCCCTCAATTCATCACACCTCTCCTTTTAAAACTCCAGTAAAAGTTGTTGTATCCCTGCATGGTACTTTGAGTTAAGGGGATATCTCAGGATTTACTGATTCTTTAGAATCAAGAACTCTTGTAAATATCTCACCAATAGGGAGCTTGGGCCAGGGACTTCTAGTTGGAACAAATTGAAGCTTAAAAATTAAAGAGGACTTTAACTTGCTAGAGGAAATACATAATGATATCTATTTGCTAGTAAGAAAATGAACTATGCCATTGCAACGGGTGTGCATTTCAGGGATAAAAGAGGCTTTGTTATGATTACAAAGAAAGCAAACTTCTATTCTGATGCATTGAAAATAAATTTGTAGTGAGATTTATAATGGTTTTGTCTTCAAGTACTTGTTGATCTGTGAAGCAGTGCAGTTTAGAAACATGTTGAGGAATTAGTGAGAAACAGCTATTTTACTGAGAAAGAGGTATAAATTTTTTGTTATCCTCTATATCAGTTGCCACATACAGTGATGCTGTAGCTCAGAGCATCATGAATTACCTGGAAGTCCTAAAAAAATGCAGATTCTGATTCAGGAGGTCTGGATGGGATCTGAGATCTGTATTTCTGACTCATTCCCATTGGTATCCTGGCTATTGCATCTCCAGGGACCACATTTGAATAGCAGGGATTTAATGCTTATGGCTGAAGCACCTGGAAGGAAAAGCTTTAAGCTGAATTCATGATGTTTCATTGTTGTTTTAATTTTTTGGCCGAATCAAGAGTCTGACCCTTTGATATGGACTGTGACTGTGTAAATATCAATAACCTCAGACATGCAGATGACACCACCCTTATGGCAGAAAATGAAGACGAACTAAAGAGCCTCTTGATGAAAGTGAAAGAGGAGAGTGAAAAAGTTGGCTTAAAGCTAAACTTTCAGAAAACAAAGATCATGGCATCCAGTCCTATCACTTCATGGCAAATAGATGGAGAAATAGTGGCAGACTTTATTTTTTGGTTCTCCAAAATCACTGCAGATGATGACTGCATCCTTGAAAGTAAAAGATGCTTGCTCCTTGGAAGAAAAGCTATGACCAACCTAGAAAGCATATTAAAAAGCAGAGATATTACTTTGCCAACAAAGGTCTGTCTAATCAAAGCTGTGGTTTTTCCGGTAGTCATTTATGGGTGTGAGAGTTGGACTATAAAGAAAGCTGAGCACCAAAGAATTGATGCTTTTGAACTGTGTTGTTGGAGAAGACTCTTGAGAGTCCCTTGGATGGTAAGGAGATCCAACCAGTTCATCCTAAAGGAAATCAGTCCTGAATATTCATTGGAAGNTATTACAGTGAAAAAGGACAGAGGAAGCTTCTGACACAGACATCAGAGTGGGACGGAGAGTGCCCTGTCACTAGTCTTAGCAAGGGAGTTCTATACTTTTTCTATTGGTTATTAACAATAAATCAAAAGAATGTCTCAAGTTTGTAAGGGTCTTACTAGACCTATTTACATTTTAAGATGACAGGATTAGTCAGAAGGTTCTTAAGAAGGAGAAACATGTCCTCAAGCAGAATACATTGTTATATAATCATTGGTACAGAGTTTAAGGAAAAACATACCCTCAAGCAAGATGAGTTGTTTTATTGTGTAATCATTAGTTCTTGGCTTAAAGAAAAGAAAAAAAAAAAAGTCTTCTGTGACTAAGGTGCGTGAATGTAGAAAAAAAGTTTGTCCTTGAGAGCCCCAGACCCCTTTCTCCTTGGACTTCTCATCAACCTACCTAAGTCTTTCAGGACCAAGTTTAATATTTCCCTAAATGTTCCTTTTTCACCTTAAATGTATCTCCATTGACAGGCTAAAGTTAAGAACAAAATGAATAATGAGAAGTATTAGTACTTAAAGCTATCACACATTTGCTGGAAAGGAATGAGTTTTTTTGCTATGAAATTGATCCCCAAAATATTCATCATATAAACACTTGAAATTTCACATCTTTTAATTTGTGAATGCAAACCTTCAGGGATAAAAAATATATTTCTTGTTATCAACTAAAGACTAGTAGGTGAAGCTGATCAGGTTAATCATTTTTTAAACCCTGTTAACTATTTTTTAATAAATATAAATCACTAAATAGAGCAAGATTAAAAACAAAAAAGGATGTTTTCTCATTGTATGTATGCATTAAACTTTAGGTAGAGTTATAAAATGATCAATTAAAAAATAATAATAATAAAAACAAAAAATAAATAAGTAAAATGACAAATTTCTAAAATTGACAATGATAAAGCTTTGGAAAACCATAAATTTGCATTAAGTATTAAGTGCCTGCTTTATGCATATTTTAATAGGGAGCACAAAAACCACAGTTCTTATACTCTCTTTAAAAAAAAAAAAAAGAGCAATTCAAGGCCATACAAGCACATTAACATTTTTTTCCTGACACTTAAATAATAAAAACAAGAACATCCAGCATTTACTGAGCACTGACTATGTTGCCAACACCTTCAAAGTTATCACATGTGTCATCTTACTCTGGCCATTATACAGTTGAATAAAGTTTGGAAAGTTTAATTACTTTGTTAAGGTCATACAAGTGTCAAGGCTTGGAGACCCCATGTTTTGAATCTTTGAGCCCCCCCAGTGAATATCAGAAACTATGATTTTGTGATCTAGATGTCAGGTTGTGATATCGCTTGGTAACATCTCATGAACAGTCAAGCAATAAGGGCACACCGTCTGTGCCTCAGTATACTCATCTGTAAAATGGAGAGACTCCCAGCCTCTCTGCTGCAGGAAGCAGGTCTCTGGTTGTTTAGAAGGGCCAGACACCAGTCACTTGGAGCAAAGCCTGTTTTGTTTGCTGGTGGCACACCCAGGCTCTAGAAGATCACCACCAAATGTTGCCAGGGGTTTAGTCCCCAAACTGGTCACAACAGCAAGAGGAATTGGCAGGACATTAAGTTTCTCAAAATCACTTGTTATTAACAAATGTCTTGGAGAAGAACCTCTCCCAGGATTAGATGTTAGAAAATTTCCGGCCCAGTGAAAACAGGCCTCATCCCCAGGAAACCTGTCCTTGAGGTATGGGTAGCTGTTTTCTGTGTCTGATGCATCCAGTAGGGATGAGACTGGGGGTTACGGGAGGGAATCAGACATGGTGGGGCCTGCATGAGTGCGTTCTAAGGATCCGTGCTTGCTGAACAGCCCCCACCCCGCTCCTTAAAGCCCTGGGATTGAGGTCAGACACCCGCATCTCCTCCCAGTCCTGGCTTCCCTCCTCCTCCCCGTGTCTGCACTCACAGTCACCCAGCTTGTGTGTGTGACCAGCCGGAGACCAACCAGAGACCGAGGGGGCTTGCTTCCCTTGAGACTGCCTTTCTTCTCATCCCTTCACACTCTCTCCTCTTAAATCCTTCTCTTTGCCCAGCTCTAGAAGAGTCTCCTTGTTAACCTACCTACTTCTCCACTTGGAAAGTCGTACCCTGGATTATGAGAAAGGAGTTGGGGTCCACGCAGGGCTCTGCTCTGTGGTCTATTTGCATTTGTTAAAGAATTATTTTTATGGCTTTCAGTTTTTCATTCAAATAATATTTCTACTCAGTCCGAGATTACTAGGAAATCCAGAGCAACATCTTGGAAGAGCAATGTCTCCTTCCAGACTGTTCCGTGAGTCCAATGTTTGCGCCCCAGCCGCAGCACAGAAAGGGGTTTCTGCAGAGCACCTGGCTGGGGGCGCTGTTTCCCGTTTGCTCTGGAGTTAGGCTGCGGGGAGCTTCTTTGGGCTAAACTATGAACGATTTAAGCAAGAAAGAAAAGTTTCTGAGAGGCAGAGTATCTAAATACCCAAAGAGATTCCCAAGGGTTATTCCGTGTCTTTTTGAAGATCTTTAAATGTGGCAGCAAAGAGATTGTCTGCAAGTTGTGTACCAGCTGCCTGACTTTTTATGATCTCCTTTAGTCCATGAAGAATACAGTTAATTAAACTCAGAAGTTTGCCACTAAAATAATAGGTATGAGATCCAGAGAATTCAAGGTGTTGAAGGACTCATTAAATAGGTTTGCATAAATATCATGCTGAAAGATTTAATGAGTCCATAGGGTCAGTTATAGAACAATGGAGCATAGATGACCTAGAAAAAAGAAATTAGAATCGATATTGGGCTTCTAAGTTAACAGCTATAGATTGCTATATGAACACCTGAGAGAGAAATTCTATAATTATATCTTAATGCTGCATATGGGTGTTCTCATCCCAGGGAAAATGAAATTGCTTAGTTTTCATTTACTTGTCAGTAATAAAAATAAATGTTTATATGTGTGTTCATTTCTCTGGTCTCTAGAAAGCATGAATGCTTAAGGAGCTACAACTATGTAAATAGCATCAATTTTTTCTTTTAATTCAATTATTTATTGAATGCTATTGCATAGTAGTCACTGGGCTACGTGCTGGGAAAATAAAATGATGTAATAATATTGCAACCTTACCACACACACCCCCACTGGCCCCACCACAGATTGCTTACAGGCTAGTGCAACCCTGTCCAATAGGACTGTCTGCAGTGATGGAAATGTTCCATGTCTCAGAGTTCAGTGCAGTAGCCACAGGTGTTAATTAATGTTTAAAATGTGATTAGTGTAACTAAGGAATTGAATGTTTGATTTTATTTAAATTTAATCATAAACAGCTGCATGCTGCTAGTGGCTAACATATAGACAGCCCAGAAAGGTAACATGCTGAATCTGGATTTCTAATGTATAATCTACCTTTCTACAAAGGAGTTGTGTTGGGGCCAAATTCTTATTATCGTCATTGTAATAGAGCTGTTTACAGTGGAGGAAGTGCCGACTCTTCCTGGGGAAACCTAGGAAAGTTTCCCAGAACTGGTAATCCCTGACCTCCAGGATGAAGCCAGAGATTATCCAGCAGAGGAGCAGATGGGAAGGAACGCCTCGTGACATTATGAAAAATCCTGTGGTGCAAGGATCATGTAACTGCTGTGGAGTTGCACATAATTTCATAATTTAATGTTGTATTAGTTAGCTTAAGCTGCCATCACAAAATATTTCCAACAGGGTGGCCTAAACAAGAGAGAATTATTTTCTCACCGTTCTGCAGTCTGAAGTCCAGCATCAGGGTCCCAGCAGGGATGGCTTCGGTGAGGCCTCGTGGCCCCTCGCCTTGTAGGCAGTGCCTTCTTGCTGTGTCCTTACCCAGCCTTTGACCTGCACTCAAGAGAGAGAGAAGCTCTGTACATCTTCCTCTTTTTATAAGGACACCAGTTCTGTCAGGTTAGGGCCCTGTCCTTATGACCTCATTTAACCTTCGTGGCTTCCCTTGTGACTCAGACGGTAAAGCGTCTGCCTGCAATGCAGGAGACCCAGATTCACTTCCTGGGTTGGGAAGGTCCCCTGGCACAGGAAATGGCAACCACTCCAGTATTCTTGCCTGAAAATTCCATGGACCAAGGAGCCTGGTGGGCTACAGTCCATTGGGTCGCAAAGAGTCGGACACGACTGAGCAACTTCACTTCACTTCACTTCCTCATTGGCCCCATTTCTAAATACAGTCAGTATGTTGGAGGCTTCACATATGAATTTTGAGAGGACACAGTTCAGTTCATAAAACGCATCATTCAATAAACAAATATCTTTTTTCTGTTTTTTTTTTCCCCCGAGAGGAGATACATACCTCACACTCAGTTAATATATGTATGCAGAAAACTATCACCTACTGATCAACCCATGATTTTAATTCCTGTATTTATTGGTCTATTAACATATAATATAGGGTTCTGGAAAATGAACAAGTTAAAAAAAACATCTAAAGCAAAGTGTCCACCTCTCATAACATGAATGCAATTA